GAAAGTAATTCGTAACTTTTGTTTCGTTCTCGGTTCCTTTTTCAAATTCTATTTGTCGATTATAATAATTAAGTGGTCTTTCTGTGATTTGTAAATGGTTACTGTTGTCTTCTTGAGCACTATGTATTGTTGCTCTTGTGCTAATTGTATCTTCGCCTAAGAAGTTTTCGTTTAATTGAATTCTGGACAGAGCATCTGCCACATAATTTTCTTTTCCTGGGACGTATTTAATTTGGAAATCAAACTCATTTAGCTTGATCTTCCACCTTTGTAATTTCATGTTAGGTTCTTTCATATTATTTAACCAGACGAGTGGTCTGTGATCACTAAGGATTTGAAATTGTCGACCAAAAAGATAGGACCTAAAGTATTTAGTGGCCCAAACGATTGCTAATAATTCTTTTTCAATCGTTGAATAATTTAACTCATGCTCGTTGAGAGTTCTACTTGCATAGCATATAGGCTTATGCTCTTGCGAAAGGACGGCCCCTATTGCCATATTACTTGCGTCTGTAGTTAATGAAAATGGTTTTTCGAAGTTAGGGTATATTAAAATTGGGTCGGATGTTATGAGTACTTTTAGCTTTTCAAACGCTAGTTCGTAGTCTCTGTCTTTTATATTGATTTTTGCTCCCTTTTTTAATTTAAGTGTTAATGGTTTTACTATATTAGCGAAATTTGGTATAAATTTCCTATAGAAACCACATAATCCTAGAAATGATTTAATTTCTTTTGGGGTTTTTGGAATTGGGAATTTGACAATTGCTTGTATCTTGTTGGGATTTGGTTTTATACCCTCAGTTGTGATGATGTGACCGAGAAATTCAGTTTCTTTTCTCATAAACTCGCATTTATCCAACTGTAGTTTTAAGTTAGCTTCTCTAAGCTTCTTAAATACCTTTTGTAGCGACAAAATGTGTTCCTCCAATGAAGTGGAAAAAATAATAATGTCGTCTAAGTAGACCAGACAATCTTTAAAAATTAAATCTTCTAAGAGATTGTTCATACAACGTTGGAACGTTGCAGGTGCATTCTTAAGACCAAATGGCATGCGAGTGTACTCGTAATGGCCATGTTTAGTCGAAAATGCGGTCTTGGGTATTGAACCAGGATCCATTTGGATTTGGTGAAAGCCTTTGGCTAGATCAATGGTTGTGAAATATTGACATTTTCCAAGTTTGTCTAATATTTCATCCATGATCGGGATAGGGTATTTATCATTAATAGTTAGTTCATTGAGATTGCGGTAATCTATGACTAACCGGAATTTTTGCTTTCCAGATGCATCGTTTTTCTTTGGAACGATTATTACTGGTGAGCAGTAAGGGGATTTGGATTTACGTATGATATTTTGTTTTATCATATCGCTTATTTGTTTATTTACTTCCTCATCGTATATTTGAGGATATTTGTATGGACGCTTGTAAATTGGGTCCTCATGTTTTGTTAGAATTTTGTGTTTAATTGTACTAGTGAAAGTCAAATTGTCACCTTCATGGTACTGGATATCACGAAATTCATGTAAAACTTTTTTTATTTTTTCTTTTTCTTCTGAGTTTAGGTGTTCTAGCCTAAACTCATTGTTTTCTATTAATTCATTATTTATAGCGAAGTTAAATGGTCTGTCCTCTGTTGAGGGTGGATCAAGGCACTCTTGTGCGGTCATGTCCTCTTCGACCTCTTCGTCGTTATATCTAAAACAAAAGTTAAATTCTCCTAAGGTTACGGATCCTTGTGCATAGTCTATTTTTGCTTGACATGCCTCAAGGTATTCTCTCCCAATCAGAACATCATAATGCTCTGAGAAGTCGTGAATATAGAATTTTTGTTTGCTCGGACAAATTTTGCTTGCTCCTAATCGTATACTTTGTTTTAATTCAATAACACCATTTATGGTGTGAACCTTTAATGTTTCGTTGTAAACTGGAAAATTTAAGCGGTTAGTTTTCATTAGATTAATGGTTGAACCTGTGTCGATGACACATTTTAGAACTTCGTCATTCATAATCAATTTTATGAATGGATTTCTTCTGTTTGTTCCGAGGCTTGCTGATGAAAATTTTCGGATGTATCCATTTTCATCTGCCCACTGTTACTATCTCTTTGACGTTTAGTCGGAGGGTTTGGTGCATTCAAGCGTGAATGGGACTGATTTTGGTAGTTTAAGGGATTTTGGTATCTACCTTGACTTAATTTCTGTTGGAACTCGTGGTGAGCTTTCTGATTGTCTTCGGACTTATTATGCTGTTTATTTTGTGCGTGATAACTCTGATTCGTGTTGGAATAGCCACTTGAAATGGTGGTTGGGTTAGCATTTTGCTGATAATTTCCCATGTTCCTACGATTGTTATTTGGATTTCCCTGAACATTATTATTTTTAGGTTTTTCAGTAACGCTATTTTCATATAATCCCTCTCTTTGAGCTACTTGCTTTAGTTTTTGTGTCGACGTAATGTCGTGTCTGGCTAACATCATGAAAAGCCTATCTGGTAATTTTTTTGTAATAACATCTTTGATTGTGTTATTCATAGCATTTGTATAAAGGGTTGTATTGCTAGGTATATTTTCTAGTGCTAACTTATTTAATATAACAAAAGATTTATTCTCGAGCTCCTCGATGAACTTACGGACGTTTCCTTGGTAATTCGTGTTGTATAAGCGTCGAAGGAGTTCTTCAAATGGTGTCTGCACTTTGTATTCTTCAATCAATGCGTTTCTCAGCTCCTGCCAAGTGTTGGCTGCTGTCCTTTGTGATATTCTCTGAGCATCTCCTGTGACTTGCAATTCGATGGCTCCGTATAAGATGCTATGTTGTCTAACATCTCGGGTTGGATACAGGTGTAGGATGTAATCTATCCTTTTAATGAAGGCGTTTAGTTGATCCGTTGATCCGTCAAAGCTTGGCACCTGTCTAAGTTGTGAAAGGGCCTGGTTGAGGTGTTGTTCTGATAATTCCATTGTCATCTTGGTGTAATACACTTTTTTTTGAATAGTTTTGAGTTTGTAGGTTTGAACTTTATTGTTCTTTGATTTTGCACTTTTATTTTAGGTTAAAGTTTGTGATGGATTATTGGTTAAATGTTTTTTTTTTTGTGTGTGTGTCTTAAAAAGACTCAGTAATAACGTATTGCAGGGATCAAACGATATGCAAATCCAGTCGTTATTAACTGTAGTAGCTTTATTGCCCAAAGGGTCAATATTATTAAGCTACTAATGACCCGAAGGTTCTTGTGCGGATACGTATTCGAGAAAATTTTTATTACACTCCGACAACACTTTCGGTCGCGATTGTGCGTTAGATCTGGGAATTAATTATCCTTTAGCGATCTTTAATTTTTCCCGACGTATCCTACCGGCTGCGCCAATTAAGTTTTACACGTTAGGTTACTATAAAAAAATATATTTCAATTTATTATTTTCACTTAACGGCTACTTTTGTTGAGTACATTCAGATTTGCTTCCCGAATATGAACTGATTTATCTAACTGTTGCGGTCGCTTAGCAAACTTCGCTTTGAGAGAGTTTGAGTCAAAATTGAGTGAAGTTTGAGCTGCGTCAGCAATTATGCGTGGGATAGTACTCTGATGGGAACATTGACAGTGGCGTGATATTTAGGGTGAATTGTTTATGTCTACCAAAGGGGGACAGTTTGATCTTGACCAATGTCGATGTTATCACCAGGCTCTTTGTTTACAATATTAGAAATGTTTATAATTGTGCTTATGCTTATGTGCTAAGTTATGTTAAAGGGTGGGTGCGACTATGGATATGTCACTATATATATGTGTGTGTTTGCAGACGGGCACGCCCCAAAAGCGAAACGTGTCAGGCATTAAGCGCCTGAACGTGTGTAGCAGCCCTTTATTACCCTAACCGAAGGGTTGTCTGAGCAAATTCACGAGCTCCGAATCTTACCTATGTTTATCTCTTTCGTCTTAGACATAATGAGGATATTTAATAAAAAAAATAATTAGATAAAATTAAAACAAAAGTATTATTTATATGACTTGGTAGAAAGATCCAGTCCCAAGACGTAAGACAAATTTTCGCCACAAGTAATCAAAGTAAAATGAAATAAAATCATGAACAAAAATAAAACTAAATATCTTTTATTATATTTAATACCATTTAACGTGAAGAAATTATAAATTTTGACGATAAATGATAAATCTTAAATCGAAAGGGTATTCTACCACGGCAAATAAATACTATCTTGCTACAAGGACAAGCAACATTTGTTGCACTTTTGGCAATTGGTGTAAGGCAAAACGCAGGGGCATTGAAGCGTTTAACGCAATGCACAAAAGTGCAGAAATTATAAAAGTAGTGCTAGATGCAGACGCAGACTGTAGACCTGTAGCTGTCCAAAAAGAATTTGCCAGACCAATTTAGTGCGGCTGACGAATGCGCCACAGTGAGTGCAAAAAATGTGTTCACATTGCGTTGTAATTGCATTTGCTTTGTTGTAGCATAGAACCAACAAAAAAAGAAGAGGAACAATTTGGAGAAAGAAGCACAAAGAGTCCAAGGACGACCAAAAAAAAAAAGGTGAACATGGGCGTGGCAAAGGGCGTGGCCGTTGCGTTTGTCTGGATACGCACACGTCACGTAGTGCAGTTGCCACAACTAAAACTTCATCAATTTGCCCTGTGAATCCTTGGCAAGTTTGCGCTGTCTGAGCTGATGGTTTGTGGGTCGTCGAGTTGGTGGCTCGTCGGGCTGGTGGATCGGTGGGTGGAGCAGCCCCTTCGCACACGTGTGACCATTAATGTATTGCGATTTATTCATGATTAATTACAGCGTTTAAAAGAGCATAAATATGCACTGCAAATTTTATTAACAAAAATAATTAAATGAATCACACGAAACGAGTCTGGATGCATAATAAATGCATTTTCATTAAAGCATTTGCTTTATATATTGAAATATCAGTTGACTTAATTGCATTATACATGACATTTCCCATATGCAGACTGCGAGAAGCACTATCGGATTCCGTATTTATCATAACAATTCGAATTTTATTCAGAATCATTTAAGTACGCCAAATTAATACAATTACTAGACATACATATCAATTGTTCCAAGAACAAGTCAGTTTTAAAGGAAGGCAGTTGCGAGTACTTGTACAAGGAAATACCCTGTAAAATATACCAAATAAGCAGGGCACAGTCAAGCGAAAAGCCTGTTCTTCTATATATTATGTAACGTATATTTAAGAGAATAGCCTATATAAACCAATTCTACGTTCTATGTCTACTCGTAATGTATTCATATAAGTTAATTAAAGACAGGTTTTTTAATTGACACACAATGGAAATTAGCCATTCACGTTATAGACTTCGATTTCGTGCTTATTTCAAGCTGTCTTAGGATTTCCCACTTTGCGTATACTCGGTGACCACATACGCGCCATCATCCTCGCGATAGCCCAGTCCATTATAGACGACAAAGGTCCAATAGTACAGGGTGTCGCCTATATTCAAAACGGTTTCCCGATCACGGAATGTCCAGCGTCCCTTTTTCGCACTGGGTATGTCGCGCGCCCATGTGCCAGCTTCCAATCCATCAAAATCCTCGTTTAGCTTGCCATGGAAGGCGAACAATGTAATGCCCTCCTCGTGCGGTATGGAAACCTCAAATCCCTTGGGATAGAACACTCGCACTTGGGCGCTTGGCACCTTGTACGCCGCGCACAGCACGACGGCTGTCAGAATGAAGGCGCAGTTTAAAGCTAAACGCATCTCGTATTTCCCTGAGAGCGCGTTTCGAAATGCGAAATTAAAGCTCGAGTTAAGCTGATTTATATGAAAATGGGAGAGCTTTCGCTTATCAGACAATAGCAAGCCAGACAAAGCAGCACCAGCTGATAAAGTGAGATTCAAAGTCTCTCGGCTTAATGCTTATATTTTTTCTTTCACTTAACTACAAAATTTGGATTTTCTTAACAATAAGCCGTTACGAATTACGTATGAGCCATAAAATAAACCACCAATTTACCAATGTTTGGCATCGGTTTTGTTGTATCAACTAAAATTAATCATTAATTATTTTACCCTTGCAGAGGGTATTGTCAGTTCTTCTCGAAATGTGTAACGCATAGAAGGAGACATCTCCGGCCCCATAAAGTACATATATATTCTTGATCAGCATCAACAGCCGAGTCAAAGAAACTTGATGTATGTCGAAACCGACTGAATCGAACCACTATATCATATATCTGCCATAGGAACGATCGGTCGAAGAGAAGACTCTTGTGTGAGAAACTTTTTTGTTTATCAAAATATCTTAAACATACTGGGTATTTACTATATTGAATGTATTAATATCATTACTGATGGTCAAATGGCTGTATTGCTCCTTGCACTGCTCCAATTCCTCACAGCGACGACACCATTTCTATGATTTATCTTTGAGAAGCAATTCCATATCGAGCTTGCTGTCATCTCCCAAGATATCTTTTAACAAGCACTTGCATTGAAATATATTCGAAATATCTTCAATAAGTGGTTTTCATGGCATGGCTTCTAGCTCCTCATTAGTTATTAAGCTTTTGGCATATTTCATTACCGCTGCCTATGCTGAACTGAAAGGAAAATAATAAATGAATGTCCGCTACATTCTATTTAAAACTTGCCAAAGACCAAATTATAGACGCTAAGAAGCACGGCTGCACACTCATGATGCTCGAAACACTGGCAATGATTTGACTAATGAATGGGAGTAATAACATTAATTTATATAGAGTTTATAACTAGATGTATAAAATCAGTTCAAAATTTGTTAAGAGTTGCACGCGAAACTTATACTATGCGCCGAATAACTAACAACTATTAACAATATTTTAAAAATTATAATATAAAAATAAAGATCTTTTTAAAATTAAGAACCATGTTTGTAATATATTAAATATTTTGGAATTACCAACACTGTTCTGCAGGTTTTGTGGCAATCGAATAAAAAACTAACGGAAATATTTTCAAATCAATTGTTTATTGAACACACTTTTAGAACTTAGCAACTTATGGATGATATTGTCCATTGTCAATGTCGCCGTGCTCCGACTGAGCGGCCAGTGCCAAACGTTGCGCCTCCTGCTGGGCCCCAATAGCAGCATGCTCCGCTGCAATACGCTCATATGCGCTCAAATGTTTTTGGGTTGCATAATTGACGGCAGCGCTGCCATGGGGAGCAGCTGCGAGCGACTGCAAGTGGAATGGAAATATCAAATAAAATTGTGCACAATGTACAATTTGCAAGAGATTGGCTCGCGACGTGCAGGTAGCATTGAGACTCGCATTTAAAATTGATTCCATCTCTCGGCCATACTCACCGCTTGGCCTGGTGTGTGGCTGGCGTGCTCTTGCGCAATGCGATTATAGGCAGCAAAGTGCTTGCGCTTGGCCGCCTTGACGGCTTCGCTGTCCTCCAGCTGATGACTCAGCTGCGGATGGAAGCCATTCTCATCGGCCACGTACTGAACGGTGCGCACCTGATTCTTGGGATCCACATAGGAGAAGGCGCCGCGTATAACGCCCGAACCATCGGACACCTCTGTATGCTGGCGATCTACATGACCAGGCGCACGTCCCGCCTGGTAGCTGAACACATACGGATTAGCTGGCGCATGTGGCTCTGGTGTGGTGGCCAGCTGCAGGTGCGACACATCCGCGCGACTGGCGCCCAATGCGCAAACGACCTTGCAACATTCAACCGGAAATGTTGTTGTTATTTATGCGCTCAATAACTATCTTTGTCTATGGCTTACCAATATGAGAAATTGCTTCATGCTGTCGGTTTTTTGTTTCTATTTTTTTTTTTAAACGTGTGTCTGTTTGTTGAACTGCGTTGGGAAACTGAAAACCTGTAGCGAATTTTTGTGAGTCGTAGTCGTCGAAACCGAAAAAACTTGTCTGGCTCTCAGTGCTTTAGCTTCTCAGATTCGCTTTTTATATATACGCCAATCAAAGCTTTAAAGTCAAAACTTGTTTTGTTTTTTCTATTTTTTTTTTTTTTCAATTTTGCATTCATAAACAAGACAATTCGACTTTAATGTTGAATTTAATGTCTTTTGTAATAATACCCCAGATAAGCAAGCTTTGCTGTTCTACGAAAAACACCAAGTTCCTCTAATACTAGAATCTCTTAATGTCATATATTCTTAAAATTCGCAAGCTTGAAGTTGTGTGCTCAAATCTCTCTTGGAAATAGTTCATGATGAAACTTTTGCTTTCAACCAGAAACAAATTGACATTTTAGTGAGTTAATATAATTTTTGGAAGTAAAAAAACGATATTAAAATATAATACCAGTTATAGCAAAACATGAAACTAAACAGTTTTAATAATATATTTAAGAATTTAAATACCTAAAATAGTTGGTAACTTAGATAAAAAGGAATTATGCAATAAATATCGAAAATCAAACGAGCTTATTTTTGCTATTAACTTTACAAACAGGAATAAATACGCTTATCAAAACCACTTAAAACAAGTAAAAAGTATATTGCCGACGGATTCCTTGAACGAGTTGTAAATGAAAGCATTTCTATTAATAAGCCTAACGATACGAATTTTAATTTTAATCTGTCGGAAAGTGAAAATACTTGTCACATTTTATATCATATATTTAAGTAGATGCTTAAAGTTTTAGACAGACGGAACAAGTTTATCTCTGCTTAAGCATTTAGAAGCAGTAAAATATACTTAAAGATTTAAAACTATTGTTTCAGAATATTTAGTTTTTACATACTGTCTATATTATTTACCGAGCGGAAAATAATTTAATTCCGTGTTACTTTGTTTATTAAGAGAAGCTATTTATTTATGTACATACTTAAAAGCAAATAATTAAATTTCTTTGAAGATACTTGCTTTTACAAAACTATTTTCCCTAATTGCATATGCAAAATTGTGCACATTAAGGCAAAAACTTAACATATAAAAATAAGACTAGGTCAGTGTCTTAACTGTCTGCAACAACCAGTCGCCATAAGCAGGGACAAACGTATAAACGCCCGGATACTGGGCATTTGCGCAGCCCAAGCCCCAGGATACAATGCCGAGCAGTTTGAAGCGACCAGCAATTCGAACTATCAACGGACCACCAGAATCGCCCATGCAGCTATCGCGATCTCCAAGTCCAGACTTGCTGCCTGCACAGAACATGGTGCTGGTTACGGTGCCGGCACCAAAATAGTTCCGAGTACAAATTTGGCGATCCAGCTGGACGATGACTGTGTAATGCAGGCGCGATGCAGTCGACATTTGCTCGACAGCTGTTGAGCCCCAGCCGCTGACAAAGAGCTGCGCCTGTGCGGCCAAATTGTCCGTCGGCGCGACAAACTGAATAGGCTGTATGTCGAGACTATAGTTAAGCGGTTGTTGCAGCTGCACCACAGCAATGTCGTTGTTCATGTGCGTGGGTAAGTTGAATTGCTCGTGGGGAATGATGCGACGAACACGCACGTAGCTGCCACCAGTTGACCACAGGGTAGAGCCAGCGCGTATGGCATAGAGTTGCGGCTCATTTGACTTCAGCACGCAATGAGCAGCGGTGAGCACAATGCTGGGCGCCAATATGGTGCCGCCGCAGATATGACGGGTGCCCATCTGTACTGAGACCTGATGCGGAAAGTGTGTGATTTTTGTCTCCCAGCCACCCACAATGCGACCGTCCTGTGGACCAGGGCTGCCATGGGGCACCGTTAGCCTCTGCTTCTCTGTGCTGATCTCCTGGGCAGCGGCAAGTGTCAGCCAAGCGAATAGAAGCAGTTGAATGCGCTGCATGATGTGATGCTAAGGCTGACTTACGGATAACCGTGTGACTCTCGTTGCTGGCAACTTTTATAGGCTAACCACGCACAGATATCTTGGCGCTTATCGCAGTTTTGTGTTTGCCAGCGACACCAGATTTCACAGACGCCGTCAAGGGCTGCTCGCATGGCCCTCAGGGCGCTGCGATTAACCTTAGACGAGGTTGTGGCTAGGTATTTATGAAAATATATGAGCGATGTGTAACTGTCGAAATAATAGTGGGCGTGTAATGTCAACTAATGTCTAGGCTTTTGCTCTTCCAATCATCTTTCCATAGCCGTTACCTGCTCCTTGAGGTAATCCAAATGATTGACGCTATCTTCCATCACATCGTACTGATAACCCACATGCTGTAGGATGAGCGTCATCTTCTGCAGGTTCTGATTGCTGTAATCGGAAACCACATCCACTTGCGTGAAGTTCTTTAGCGTCTGATGCATAATCTGTGTAACACTTTATAGTTTAGCACATTTAATACAATTAATAATTTGTTTTCCCACCTCATTTGTCTTGGACCCTCGAACCACTTGCCTGGCCACAGACCCCAAGTTGTTTACATTAACGCCAACGCGAGCGCACAGACGCTTCTTGGAATCATCAAACAAGTGACGAGCACTGGAACTAGACGCGGATGCCATTTTAATTTGGGTTTTAACAATTTTTCTAAATTTTCACAAATTTTGCTGCGTAAACAATGCCGAGGCCAAGGTGAATATCTCACTGCTGTGTTGTGTAGCAGACAGCTTGCGCTCGTATACAGCACAGAGTTGCCAGATCCTACAGTCGACGTTTGTCAACACTATGAGTTTGAATTGATTTTTAAATCCTTGCAAAATCAGTTATTTTATTTACTTGCTTAGAAATTATATATATATACATATATATTATTTTGCATGAACTCTTGATTTCTAATATTAGTTAATAAAAATAATATAATGAATAAATATAACAAGTTGATGCATCGATTTTTATTTAGCAGTTAATTTAATATCACATTTTATTGCTGTTTCGTTTTAGCCAAAATACCTGTGCTTTCGTCTAAAACAACGGTTTACTTTTGGCTTCGCACCTTGACAGCGGTTATTCCATGCCACCCAGGCGGAAAAGCCTTGCTGCTGCCTGATATATTTTGCGCAGGCAATGGAATACCTTATGTCATTGCTGAGCAACAGTCGACACGGTAAGCGACACAGATCTGTGGACGGTCGTCCATCCGATGGCTTGCACCAGTAGCGATCGTTAATCTGAAACAGTCCCCAGTCAACGGAGCCATCCACATTCGATGGATTAATAGCCTTTGTGTTGAACGAGCTCTCACCCTCGACCAGGCAGAGCCAATCCGGCAGCTCGTTGTAGGGCACACCATAGCGATAAAGCTGCCGCGCCAGGCTACATTTGTTCACTTGGCGAGCTTGGATCGTTCTCGTACTTAGAACGATAATAAGATACAGAATCGACAACGTTTTTGGCATCTTCCTGAAATGTGAACTGCCAGTGTTAAGCCAGGCTTATATAGTGTTTGGGACAACAAATTTTGAATAGCTGCCCAATCTACATTTTTTACAAGCGTCCACTTGAACAGCTCTCAAGTAGACCCACACTTAAGCATAAATTAAGTACACTGTCCTACACAAGACTTGGCACTCTTTTTCTCTCTCAATGCGCTTCAATTCTAATGTGTGCTGTAAGCCAAATTCAAATAACTTGTTGATTTGTTTTTTTCGCTGATATATGGAGTGGGAAATGCTCGACATTTGGCCGCGTTGTGGAATAATAAACGCATTCAGTTTCACTTTCAAAACCCGCCTCAGAATCTTTTGTACAATTCGATTTGTTTATTTATGGTTTGTTCGATACTATTCAACATTTGAATATGCCTCTTGAAAGTTGTCGGCGCCGCGTGTGTCCAAAATGAAGAGCACTTGTGCAAATAAAACAATCGTAAATGTCATTCAACTTGGAAACAAGTTTTTAATTGGATATGCGTTAGAAAATGATATAAAAACGTGTGCAACAGTACAAAAGGGAACTAGAACTAATATACGTTTGGCAGCTCATGGGTATTCATCGGCTTCAGTTCGTTTTCCGCCTGGCCCGCGGGCACTTGATATCCGCTTTTGGGCAAATATTGGCGTTTTCTGGACAACGGGCGCATCACAATGTGCGCCACGCAGGTGCAAATCGCAGCTATGGCAAAATACTTAAAGCTTTCACGTCCACCCAGACGCTTTAGCATAATACCCCCAATGAGCGAGCCAATGGAGAAGCCCAACCCATCGTCCATGCCCGCCATGAGACCCTGTACAGTGGCTGAGGTGCCGGGTGGTGCCACTGCCGAAGCATAGGCAACAATGCAAGTGTAGCAGAGGGCATAGGTAACGCCCTGGAAGAACAGCTCCACGCCCACTAGATACCAGGGATTTGGTATCCAGGATATGAGCGATAAGCGTACCGCATAAAAGAAGAAGCACATGCTCATGCAGTGCACATATCCAAGTTTCTTGATAATCTTACCGCTATAGAAAAAGAATGGCACCTCACCGGCCAGACACTCGGCAGCCACCACCAGCCCTTCGATAAGCTTAATGTCCGCCATGTAGCCCGTCTCAGCAGCTACCTCTTCCAAATGCCAGAACATAAAGTAAATGATGAAGGAGTCAATAATGCCGGCCATGGTGGCGAAAAACAGAAATGTGACAATCGGTGGCTGACGCACCAGCTCCCATACATCCTTCCATATGGACTCGGAGCCGCCCAGTTTGGGCAACTTCAGCTTGGACACGCTTAACAAATCCAGCACACTAAACACACCCATTATAATCAAAGCTGGCGTAAAGCTCTTGATAGCATCCGAGGTCCACAGATTAACCACAACTCCAGCTAGCAGCGCGGTGGCGCCAAATCCAATGGTGCCCCAAACGCGCTGTGCACCATATTTGCTCTGCTCCTCCTCGCCCAGCAAATCGAAGCAACAGGCATCCGATATGGAATTGGTCACATTAAAGCCAATCGTGCCGACAAACAGCAAGCAGACAAAGAGCCAAAACATGCCGCTGCCGTAAATACAACTGGCGATGTACTCCACTTGACAGTCGAAGCTGGTGTTACTCCAATAGATGGCCGGTGTCAGTTCAGTCAGACAGATAAAGTAGCTGTCGTTCCCATGTTGCAGATTGGAGCCTAGGCTGAGGTCTGCCCTAGACTGAGGTGCCACAATCAACGTCTGGAAGGTGTTGTTCCCCTGGCTGCACTGCGCCTGGCGTGTTGCCTGGCAATAGGCATCAGATGCAGAAACCTCTGGCGGACAGTGTAGCGGCTCCTGTGTCAATGTAACTGTCCACTGTACGCTGGTCTCGTTCAGATCAATGGCATGTGGTTCATTGGGCAGATAATAGAAGCCAGCATAAGCCAATGTCATAATCGCAATCAATGCCATAAAGATGAGCTTGCGCAGGTTCTGCAGCGGATCATATCGGTTTTAGATTAGGATACGAATTTTGATTCCAATTTCGTGCGGCTTACCATAAAATAGTCGGCCAGAAAGCCAACGAGGGGCTTGGCAAGCACATAGAGAACGGGCAATACGGCATATATATAGCCCATAATATCTGGTGGAATGCCAATCTGTTTGCCTATCACTGGGAGTTGCGGCAATATGGGACCCATTGCTGCAAGGTCAGTTGAGAATTGGTTTATTTAAGAATAAATTAGTTTAACAGAATAATTATAATTACCCGCCATAAAGAAGAAGAAATGCGCCTTAATGGGCAGCAGGCGTTTGTTTATTCGCGCCATTGTCTCAGAAGTATGCAATATATGTGTATATAGTATATATATATAGAAAGAATTTCACAAAGGTATATCACAGTTTGACGACTCCATGCACCGGCGTCGTAATCTTTATTTGTTTTAGATTCTCCTCAGCTGATAGGACCATAGTTAATGCATCGAGTTTGCCGGCGATTTGTAGAGCATACAAGAGTCTGTGAAGTTAAGAATAGGCATATTAAACAATTTTATGTTGCTAAGTGCGAACCAAAAGTCTTATCTAATCGTTTCCAGAGAGCAGTCTGTAACAAAGGGCCAGCATAAAAGATGATAAAGATAAGATTTTAATGTTAATTGTTTATTTTATTAGCTCAAACATATCTAAAATTATTTCAGCTATAATTGTATTAATATTAGCTATAAAGACGTGCAAATCTTATCTATAGCACGCATGCTATAGATGTCTGTATAGATGTTTAGCATAAACAAAAGCGTGTTATTTATTATTCAGACGAATACTACAGTTTATATGGATATACATATACAGTTTATAGCACTAAGTGCCCGTAGGTCGTCTGCCGGCAGGTTGATAAGTGGATTACAATCGAGTGGAAAGTTTGTTTGTGATAGCTAATGTAGACAATAAATGAATATATAGACTAGAAATAATTTCATTAAACTATTGAAATGACTGAAAATAATTAAATATTTAATTCCAGTTCAAGGACTCTTTCTGCCCACAAGCCATAATTTAGATGTAGCATATTTATTATTGCACTAATTCAATCATAAATGAATCGTTGAAATTGAAAACAAAGCAAGATCAACATACGCACCTATAAACAGAGGTGTGTATCTCGCAACCGGTTCAATATATATATGTATATATATAATAAATACAATGCGTATACACAGTAAACTTGACACAAAAAAATTAAACGATAAACACTCGGTACTGCCGGCAAGTTAATTGCCAAAATAAAAGGTTATTTACGACACAAAAAACAGCCCAAAAACAATATAGACAAAGAGTGCGCCGGTTAAACGGCCTTGAAGTTACAGTCGCTGCTGATTAGTATAGCCGAAAAGATATTATTTGAGAGAATTGTTAATTCCAATGTAGTTAAGACACGAATCGAATAAAAACTTAATACACAAGCCGCAACTCGAAATTATTAAATGGATATATAATGGGATTTTACACGAATGCGAATCCACAGAAATCGCAAGAGAACGTCAACTAGTTAAGTCAATAATAACTGGGAAGCCATAGGAATGCGCGTACTATAAAAACTTGTGGAGGCTGCGACTGAATAAACCCATCAAAAATGAGCTAAGCATTCGAATACAATGGCACACTTTCACAGCTCGACTATGATATATAATTTAATAGAGAATTAGTTGAGAACTTAATTACACGCTGGAATATCACGCGAGTTGGAACGCACTGGAGACGGAGACTGGAGATCAAGTTGAAGGCGTGTTGATACGACGCAAAGTGCCAGCTACGACTGCTATTGCAAGTCGCCGACAATTGTGCCCTGCCCCACAGTCTTGAAATGGGGCAGACGCTCGCCGATAAGCTGTGCGGGACTGATAAGCGGGCCGCCAATAATATTACAAACTGAAAAGTTATAAACAGAAATCAGCTGCATTGATAAGTTGCGAGATTATAATTGCTAGATACACAATCTGTATATGTATTTTACCTACTATTTTATGTTTTTATTTTAGTTACTTTAGATACGCCAATAATTATTATAGCTATAAGATTTTAAAAGAAATCACAGGCATTGATAAGGCACGAGATTATAATTGTGAGACAGACATCTGATATAAATACATGAATTTATTTGTACTTTTTTAAGTTATTTAAAATCCATTTTGTTTAGCAGAGTTTTTTTTTTTTGTCACCTATGAAAGCCGAACGGGCTAGATCTTTGGCCATGTAATTCCCCTAAACGCACCTCCCATGGATTCTGATCAATCCATCAAAACCTGGAATAGCCCAAGCGTTGTCTGAGTCAGCGGCTGTGCGTTGCTTTTGTTTACGTGCGATGATTTTTGAATCTCGGATTGAAACAAGTTTTATTCGTTGCATCCGCAGCTGACGACGTAAGCTCCAACGGAGGCGGTCAGACAGTCGCCGCTGTTCGTCCGTCGCGTGTGGTTGACTGAGTCTCGGCGCGTTCTCAGCTTAAACACATCCAACATATATATATATATTATAGAATATACATATTTGTATACATATGCATGTGAATATTGGTAGGCGTTCTTTGTGGTCCGAGTGCTGATAGCGCGACTAATTAACATTCATTAAAACAAAGTGCTTTTAAAATATTTCGAATAGACATCCTACACAACAATGCGGCCGCTGATATCAATGTGTATTTGGTCATTTCTCCTGATCATATCAATATCTACTTGTCAGGCTGTCGAACCACTCGATGATGGCAAATGTAAGTCCAGATTGAGGGCATAGAAATGCATGGAATATTATTTAAATGGTGCACTTGTTTATTGTATGAGAATTTTATGATGAAGTATTTAACTCTATTGAATAAACAAACCGATTAAATGCAAATCTATTACAAAATCTGTTGTTGTGTTTTTTTTAATTACACAAAACAAAAAAGTATAATTCATCTTCAACAAAACACGGAATATCAATCTAAGAGACTTGAAGCATTAAATACGCTTGAAAGTCCATTTGTTAAAATTGCTTTGGTAGCTATAATATATACAAGTCTGATTTTAAACAATGAAAAATTAAAAAGTGATGTTAAGCCCAAATGCACATTAATCAAGAACCAAAATATTTAAAAAAAAAACGTCAGAACCGACTGAAAGATATGTTTATTTCAACAACAACAAAATCCCAAAAAATAATTAACATATGCTAATCACAAAAAAAAAGTTTATTCCACAAACAACTTAAAAATTTCTTTTAAAAAAATGTTTATACACCGACCGACCTTCATGGAGTAAAATAAAAATCAAGAAACACTAGACACATTGAGCACAACACCGAAGCGCAAACACGCTATCGGGTAAAACTTAAGAAATTTAAAATTGAATATCTGAATCTCATCAAAAGTATTAGGGCAAGCTCCAATGACAATGTGCCTCCAGTAATGAATTGTAAGCGTATTGCTCTTAATACAGGTTTTTCATTTTTCATTAGCAGTTTTATAAATCTTCACTAAACATTTATGACAAAGTAGAGTACGCAACATGAGGAATTGAGATAAAATATAATAATTATTTTAAAAAAGAATGTGATGCAAACTTGAAGCTTATATTTATTTCAAGTTTTAGCTATTAGCTTTCAAACTTGTTGAAGTGCTTAATATCAGCATTAAAACCACATCGACAATGTTTTAATACTTTAGAAAAGTCATTTAAAGTACGTCAGCCAATATTTATACCCAATTTATATATATATATACCTAAATATTTACAAACTGTCAGCTGTAACTCATCCGCATACATGCCGAAAACCTGTCTCCGAAGAGTTTCGTAACAAATTGGGGTTCGGACACGCGTCGACCTTGACTGCCTGCTCCACTGGTGAAAAGCCCAAATTGAAATGTTTCTCTTAAAGTCACATGGCAACTGTTACCTGTGCGAGTTCTGCGTATTTGTCATGATATCAGAGATTTCCAAGACGAGAGCAAAATGCAAAAAGCGTTAAGCAGCAAACCGGTTGCGCATGCTTTTATGCAGCTGGGGAATTTTTAGTTCCAGACTCTATTTCCGAAAAACTGCACGCAATAAACGACTAAATCACACACAAAACGAATTAAACTTTTAGCGGACTGCTTGCTAAAGGTTAAACTTTTTGTTTCTTCATATTCACATTAATTGTTCCCTCTCGTTTCCAGTGCGCGTCTGTGTGGTCGAATCCCGGGGTAGCTATCGTAAGGCGCCCCAGTTCTGTCCACTGCTGGCGGCCACAAGTAACATTGAGTGCCTTATTGGCGTGGATCGCTTGGACTGTGTGCGTCGCATACAGAAGGGAACTGCACATTTTGGTGTGCTCACCTCCGAGGATTTGGTGGCAGCTCGCTGGGCCAGTGCGGAGATTTTGGTTGCCAGCGAACTGCGTTCACATGAGTCGCCATTTGAATACGAAATTGTTGCCGTTGTGGATAACTCTGCTGATATACACACAGTTCATGATCTGCATGGCGCTAAGCTGTGCCATCCTGGTTATGGTTTGGATAACCACTGGACCGAGGTGTTGGCTGATGTAAGAACCGGAACACTTAACCGATTAACAAAGTCCACTTCCACTTTGAATAGAACAACTCATCTTTTGCAGTATTTCGAGTCAGCCTTGGTCGCCAAGTCCTGCAATCCTGAGATTACTTTAACTGAGGATCGAATTGCTGCCTCTGCTAGGTTTTTTGGACCCAGCTGCAAGGCGGGTCCCTGGGTGCCAGATCGTAAACAGGATCGCATTCTAAAGGATCGTTATCCATCATTATGTCAAATGTGCTATGATCCCTATAGCTGTGATGATACGGACAAGCATTGGGGCCGCCGTGGCACACTTTACTGTCTGACCAGTGGTGGCGGAAGCGTATCCTGGGCACGCCTCGACGACACACGCAGTCACTTCGGCGTGAGTAGCAAATAATTGAACAAATTGATTGGGAACATTGCTAAACTTAACATTTTACATTTTATAGCTTGCGGGTCTGAAGGCACAGGATGATCCTGAGAAGTACAGCTATCTTTGTCCGGACGGACATTTGCAGCCCATTAATGTAACCCGTCCCTGCATCTGGGTGTCCAAGCCGTGGCCTGTGGTTGCCGCACGGCGCTCACATGCCGCTCAGGTGCAGCGCCTTATTACAGGACTCACACACGATGAGCCACAGAGTTGGCAGAATGCATTGCTCAGCCTGCTTGAGACATATCATGTATTTACGGTGCCTCTAGACAATGTCATCTCCATAGATGACTATCTCGATCAGGCTGTTGGCTTTCAGTCGGCCTACAGTTTCCCAGAGTGCAATCCACCACGTTCCATAGTCGTCTGCACAACGTCCATAATCGAGCATATTAAGTGCTCCTGGTTGCAGGAGGCAGCCCATGTGTATGGCGTAGAGCCGAACATTCAGTGTGTGCGCACAACTAACTTGGAGCAGTGTATGGATGATACCCGCTACAAGAGCGCCGACGTACTCCTTGTCAATCAGGACCAGCGTGTACAGGCACAGAGAGATTACAAATTGACGCCCTTGCTCTTTGAGTTTGCGGAGCAAATGCACGATCGTTACGTAACCATTGCGCTGGTGCATAAGGATTCCAAGTATAAAAGCTTTAAGGATTTGAAAGGCGCTCGCGCTTGCCTGCCAAGCTATGAGGGCGCTGCTCATCTTTCCGTCCTGGAAACTATCGTGAATGCCACTGGAAGCGTGCACTCGCTGCACTCATACTTCAATCACAACTCCTGCATCTGGCATCCGCATAAGGGTCGACAGTGCCCGCTGCATTATCAAGGCGATGAGGGTGCATTCCGCTGCTTGGCCGAGGGTGCCGATGTGGCGTTCCTCAGCTCAGACGTCTACAAGAAATACTTAAGCGGCAATTTAACATCCGACTGGCTGGCGCCTGGTAAGCATCTGTCTTACCGTCTGCTGTGTCCCTACGGCGGAATTGAACGGCATTCGAGATTTGAGTACTGCTATCTGCACTGGGCACCGCGTGGCCATTTGATGACGCACAATTCGTCGCAAACTCGGCACAATGAGATCTACAACTCACTGCGAGACATGGATCATCTATTTGGCAAAAAGTATAAGAGCGAGACGCGTCCCTTTTCGCTCTACGACATCTTCGATAAGCGAAACGACATTCTGTTCAAAGACAGCACAGATGCACTATTGAGCGCGCATGAGCTGCTGCGGGATAATGCAAAGCGTTCCATGGAGCATGTCTATGAACGTTACACGGCGCAGTATTACGATGCCGAAGGCGTCTACGACGGAGCGCATTTAGCCAGCGACAGTTGCTTTGTTTTGGTGTTGGTTGCTGGCGTTTTGGGTCTGCTGCAACGCTAATCATTTCAGTCATACTCAAGTGCACAAAAGGAACCTTAGTTATTGTGATATTAATTTGTATATGCGCACATATAAAGCTAAATTATTTTAGGAAACCTAAATACAAGAAATTTTAAAAACAAACAAATGCTTTACTGATGCAGTGTTGCAAAAGGCTTCAGTTGCAGTTCTAGTTAGAAAAAGGTATGCAGCTCACAACAAAGCAAAAATTATATTCATTGTCAAGCGGAGAGGTTTTAGTTTTCGATGTGAAAGCAAATTATGATCCCTTTTTGTGATTCGAATACGAATTTACACTACTTATTTAACGATATAAGTAAATTGCATATCGATAATTTCTAGTCAAGCTTTCCAAATACTGAACATCAGCTGTTTATATTGTTTTTGTCGCTATGCTACACAAATGGTTGCTATGTGAACAATTAAACTAGACACAACAAAATAGGTTTTTGCAATGAGCTGAATTAACAATTACAATTGATTAAACATACGTGTCTACTTAACACTTAATTTGTTTTAAACGAAAGGCATTTGTCGGGGGCGTAAAATGTCAAAGAGTTCAACGCGTACGGCGATCAAGGCAAACGTAAGAAAACATATTACACACTTGAAGCAGAAGTATTTGTACTTGCACCCAATTAATTTGTATGGCGCATAATGCTTAGTTCTTGTAGCACTCGGAACACAATGTAAACTGTGCTACTGCACTTGCCACTGGATTAAATAAGCAATTCTTGAAAACATTCTCATGCACACTATGTCCACATACGCACACATTTTTATTGAATTTAATGTTTGTTTAACTGCAACCAGTCTGAGAAGAATAGAGAGAGAAAACCACTGATCATTTTATTGAAAGAGCATTTTTTGCTTTGGATTTTGATCAGTGTTGCAAAACGCAGTCTGAACAGCTGTAATGTCAGCGTTACAGTAGCATTGTTTTAAATGTAAAAATATTTGTGTTGATTTTATAGCCCAAAAATGAAACACAACGCAAAACTATCAATTCGCCTGCAACAGGTGTGGGCACTGCAACATCAAGAAGCAGCTCGGAAAAAGTCAAGCAACAGGACAGTATTGATAGCGAAAAAGGCCTGCGAAAAGCCACAAAGACTGCAAAGGCAACTGTAACCGCAACAACCACCAAAAAACCGCCGCCGTTGCACAAAAGCAAAAACAAAGAGCGTGAGGCTGCTCCTCAAACGAGTAAACGAGCAACCCCATCGCCCGCAACGAAGGCTACAGCCACATTGCGTGCTGCCAAACAACCACCTGCCAGTAAAGCCAAGCCGAATGCGGTGCTGGACACGTACCATAGTGTGACGGTGTCATCGCCACCGCAAAAGCGCAGAGTGCAGGCAAAACAAGCAACAGCTGAAGCAGGGCCAGCGGATACAGTCGAGGAGGAGAGACAGCCGCCTCGTGTGCGCTCTTTTTCACGCACTCTGCAGCCAGAGGAAGTAGTTGTGCTTAAACGAGAGTCGGCCAAGCAACGTAGTGAACAGGAAGTTCTAAAGCAGATCAAACAAGTGAAACAGCCCGTTGCATTTGAGGTAAACTTTGAGGCAGCTAAAACGCAGGCAGCGGAAGCTACAAATGACTTAGATAATTACTCCGACGATTTTGAATCCTATGAATCGGATTTTGAGACGGATGTCAGCACGCCCGAAGAGGAAGAATTGGAGGAGGACGAGAGTCAAGTAGCAGAAAGTGCAGAGGCAGTGTTGTTAGCAGGGGAAGTCAGCCTGACAGTTGACTCATCTGAGGAAGATGATGAGGAAGACTCAGAGCCCACACAAAATCCCATAACTGTCATACAGCGCGACAAGGAGCTGGAGAGAAAACTGGATTCAGGTCACTATGACATGCAATCACGCCGGCAGCCGCGTGCCGCTGCGCTGCAGCCATATGACAGCTTCGATACCAACAGCATGGCCAATTCTGACCAGCTGGACTCTGGCATTAGCAGCTATGGCGTGGCGGCAGCTCTGGAAGTGCCCATCGTTCGTCAGTCGACAGCGGATGTGCATTACGGCGGCTATGTGGATTTTGTGGCGCGACCTGTCATTACCAGGCGCGGCTTAGAGTTAATGCGCAAGCTGCGCTTCGATCAGCTGGACTACCAGCTCTTCGAAATGAAACCGCTGAGCTATGAGGGTTACATGCAAAGTTATGGCAAGCTAAATACCTGCCAGTTGGCCACACAAACGCACTCCCAGCACATGGACAACGAATGCCAGACTCAGGAGCTGCACATGCGTACCAGCTGGACACAACATCCGCCGTATTATGGCAGTCAGCTGGTGCTCAGCTGCAGCGGTGATGCAGGCAACGAACTTGATTTGCTGCTTTCAATAAAGACAAATGATCCATTTGAAAACAGCCTGGCACGATTGGAGCAGCTGCGTCAGGCAGAACAACATCGCACTCTACAAAAGCAACGGCAGCGTTTAGCCAAGCCCAACGACTTGGAGCGCTTGGGCGTCTTTCTGAACAAAGCATCCCTGTTGTTGGGCAAAGTACTCAACACCAACTGTCCAACTCGTTCGCCGCGCCAAGTGCCGCTGTTGCAGACCGGCCTGCTAAATGCGCTGCGTGTGCGTCGCATCTTTGGTAGCTCCGGGCAGCAGCAGCTCGTGGTAACGGTGCACGAATGCCCACCGCAGTCCGATGTGTATCGCGATGATTTTGCTAATCTACTTATGGTGTGGTCTCTTACGGATCCCAGCAACCCGCTGCGTCTGCTCTCCACCTGGGCCGAGGTGTGTCGCGTGACCTTTTGCAGTGAAGCTCCCGACATCATTGTTGCTGGACTACGTGACGGCAGCATGGCCATGTGGGACCTGCGGGAAACCTACAGCTACTGCTCTAAGCTTGATGGCAACTTGACACACTTTGCGGCCACTCAGTCCGTAGTGCCCAGTATGGACGCTCAAGAGCTCACTGCCTTGGATCTAGGTGCCGTTGTGGATGTGCGCAGCTTTCGACCAGCACCCAAGTCATCAGGCATAGGACTGGAAAGCAGTTTTGCACTGTCACACAAGGATATTCAGGTGAATTGGCAATTCAATATGATGATGTCAGCTTTGACCAGTTGCGTTTTTTCCTTTCCATAGTACGCAGCGCTTAACGATTCCGGACTGCTCACTATTTGGACATTGGTGGAAAGCGGACTGCGAAGCCACGGAGCAACCAGCGCAAACGAGTACAGCTCACCCTGGGCAAGGGTGAAGCTGCTTCAAGCGGCTAGCTGTGATATGCGTGGCTATCTGGAACGCCGCTTGTTGAGTCGAAACCAAACCGCCTACGATAAGACCAAGTCCCTGTTCCAGGGCAACATCTACAGTGACGAGCTGCTGCGCGAGTTAAACGAAACGCAAACACTAACGACGGCCTTCGCCGGCCAAGGCTTACAAGGATTACGCTTTAGCAGCATCGATACAGGCAGTGATCTTATATACGTGTGCACCAATCGTAACTTTGTGCTGTGCTGCACGCGCAGCCTCAAGACAGAGCGCTTCACACGCATCGGACTCCATGAGAGTCGCTTTCTATTTCCCACGGCACTTTGCGTGCTCGCCAACGAGTACTTTGTGGCTGTGGGCTTGTCGAATGGCTCCGTCATGATACTCAACTGCAATCAGCGACAGCGTCAGCGTCTGCAACGGCCCACAACAGCCATGCCGCAGCCAACTATTGAACACGAGCCCGAAACGGGCAAATCTTGCGCCATACAAAACATAATACTGAATGAGCGTCGCTCCTTTGAGCAAAAGGAGATGGACAACAGCGCCAGCGGTAGCTATGATGCGCGACCGAATACCGCCCTGCAGCTGCTGCAGCAGCCGCGTCGATCCTACGAGCTGCTAGTCTTTGACCAACAGCTGCTGCTCAGTGGCAGCGTCTTGCGCCAACATCTGGTTCAGTCGCTCGTTCAGTCCAGCGACGGTTGGCGGCTGTTTGCCCTATCTAATGGCTCTGTGCGCACCTACGATTTTCATTTGGATCGCGAACTTACTGATACTGGTCTGGAGATTAGCTCACCTGTTGCAGACATCGCTGCGTCGAGCAGCTCCTCAACGAACCAACAATTGTTGGTGCTTGCGGCTGACGGAAAGGTGCATATGCACTCCGTTAACTTGTAGTTTGTTAGGAACATGAATTTGTTCAATTTGTTTACATGATTTAGCAGCAGTGAAATAAAGTTGTTTTCTTATCCTTACTCTATAACTTTATTTATTAGTGTACCCATTATACCTTTTATGCGGGCTTTCCATATAGTTGCGACATGAACTGTCGGTCGAAAATTTTGATCTACTTATACTATATAATGTGTGTGTATCTTCTTGTACGTAATTTTAGGTAATATATAGCAAATATAGAAGTGGCTCGTACATTTTTTCGTCTCCTTGAAGTTATACTCTAAATATTAAAAAAAAAAGTATTTAATTTATAAATAATCATATATGTCTTTTCTTGTTTGTAAACCCTATGTCCCTATTTCCTTAGGCTTAGAAGGGTATTATATTCCCGAACACCGGGAGATATATCCAAGGGGTGATCTGTGTATGCTATACAAAAGACTTCAAGCCAAATTATATGTCACCAAAATAATATCGAAAGACAGCATTTCGATATTGATTTCATAGAAATGGCCGAATTATCAAAAAATGTACTGCGCGGATTACTGGAGAACATACGTCTTTCAAGTCTCTTATTTTTATAGTAGGAGTTGAGGTTTCAGAAAGTGATTAAGAATGATGGCTGCAATTGACTCCCATGAATGTTACAATCCTAAGTAGATCTTTGAGGATATCGTTGGGGTACATAAGGTCTATTATATGGACTTGGGGAACACTGAGTGTGTCACAATTAGGTGAAGTTCTTAGTTACACCAGGCCTGATTAAACAACATATATAGTAGCATTTTCTTTACTTATTAATAATATCTGTATATGTACACATTTGAAGTATAGTATTTGCCATATATTAGTTAAACAGGAGCAGCAGCATGCCGTCTGTGGAACTCCGCGAATCATTTCGCCGACGTAATCTTGGTTGTTCGCCACGTAAGAAGAAAATTTTCTGCATAATTTTCGTCGTTACATTTATTACGATAATTGTATTGACCTATATATTATTCCCATTAAAAAGGAAAAAAATTACAACTGAGGAGCCTTAAGGAAATGTTTTCTTTGTAATAAGACAATTATGACGCGCATACATATAAATTAATTTATATAAATAAATTAGCATATCATATATACGCTATGTGACAAACCTCTTGTATATAGCGTATATATGATATACCAAGAACATAAAGGTTTTTTGACTGAGGGGTACAGAGGATTATTCAGTCGAGCGCATTCTTGTTTAGTTTTGTTCGACTTCAATATGGGGATGAAAGAATTAATATAATTTTCAAAAAAATCTAGAAAAACGTAATTAGAGAAATTTGCTTAAGTTTTATTGAAAAAATGATTTCCTTTTTGTAAAAAGTCACATTTTCATCAACTTACATCTAAGTCAAAGACGGTTCTAAAATAACTCAAAATAAAAGTTGATAGAGTTAAATACTTGTAAGAAAAAACTATATATTTAAAATTATTTCCACAAGTTAAGACTTTATCGACTTTTCATGCCCTGATTGTGCATTTTGAGGGCGATTAGATTTCGGGCCTAGGCTATCTCCTAGTCAGGAACTTCCAGCCAGAAAAATTCGACTCCAACTTTCAGAGGCGAACTAGTTTTAAGAATTATATTATTGAACTTGGGGCATTTGGTAAAGTTGTAAAATTCGGCGTACCCTCAGCCATATATTTTATCGGTTGAACCTCGCTCGGAATGGAATCAGGTTTTTTCCCCTTATATACAATCTAAAAATTTATTTATAACTATAAATCACAAAACACAATTTCACTTCTATGTACAGCCCGATGTCCAGGAATGGCATCAGACTTGCCTGGCCACGCCCAACATGCCGGACGTTGTGGCGCCCAGCAGTTGACGCACCGTCTGCAATTCATCGCGCAGGGCAAGCACCTGGGCTCGCAGTATGGAGTTCTCCTGTTCCAGGAGCGCAGCACGGAACGCAATGCGATCCTCGCGTATTTTGCGAGCATCCCTTGACTTTTTGGCTGCCTCATTGTTGCGCTTGCGTCGTTCATAATACTTGGCATCCTTCTGGGCATCTGGTATGGGTCGCTTTTCGCCACGTGCCCGCCGATGCAAAAAGCCTGGAAACATGCCAACGCGGTTGAGCTCCATCAGCGGAAAGTCAAGATTCTGCAGGGCATGATTCGGCGGCGCAATATATTCGAAGGCGGGTAACGTAGCACCAGGAATGCCGCCATTTGACTTGGAGGCCAACAGACTGGGCAATGCGAGTCCAGGCAGCGGCATGCGCAGACTATGCGTTGCAGGTATCGTGAGGGTTGAGTTGCAACTTGGCTCCAGGTCAATGTCCAGTTCGCTGTGCAGGGAGATGGTTTCGGTAACGTCTACTATGGGCGATTTAGCGGGCGAATACATTTTGAGCAGCTCTCAGAACTCCGGCGACAATGAGTTTTGAGTTCCGTTCGCGCCGAGTGCCGCGTTGTCTCTGAGCCTGCGGCGCGTATTCCTAGTTTGCCCAACCGTCCACACTGCCACCTGCCTACGGTCTGACTGTCTAGCTACTAAATAATTATAGGTTATTGTCACACACACACACTCAAACACACACACGTACAAACAGAGGGCAGCCCCAACGGGCCTTGCCCAGCCCCAACCCTAGACCAGTTAGGACTAAATCTAAGCCATAGCGCCACAGGCCGCCTTCCGGTTGATTCAGCCAATCACGCAATGTTGACGGTAATTATTCGTCAAATACATGACACTTTTTCATGTTGAATGACATTTATTTTGCAGCACAGTTATAAGGGTTTCATATAACTGGTTAGTCTGATTAGCCACCCCCTCAAAGCCGCCGCTTGGACAGCAGCCAAAAAAAAAAATGTCTAGAATATGAAAAGTTGTTGACCACATTTCTGATTTCGTTGGGGGTGTTGCCCGACATGGGCAAGAGTTCAGACAGGGTTATATGAGTTGGCCAACTATTATGCAGCATGGCCCAACGTAGGGCTGGAAACTTTTTTCAACAGCCAATGAGAATGATCGAATGGACATGGAAATGGGCGGGTTGGCATCTGGCTGGATATGGGGGCTTAGAAATCGACCATAAAGGAATTTACCGTTGCGCTTTTGATCGACCAACATTTTATAGATGAAACATTACGATTAAGAATAATAGCTGTAATTGCCCCAATAGGGGTTAAAGGGCACTCGAAAGCCGACAAGCACGAATTGAAGTACATAAATCTTACTACTAGAGTTCTGTAAACATGTTAAATTTCAGACAGGGAAGTGATTATATTTTATATTAAATTTTTCGGAATAAACAAATTATTTATGAATCGACTGATTGACTGATTGAATTATTATAAAAGCTGGGAAGCAGAATTTGTTACACTACCTTTTCATAATGAAAATTTGTAGAAAACAAATTCAACCAAACATTTTTGCTTATAATCCTGTGATTATTTTTTAAGATTTTTCAGACAATTTCAATTCGGGTTTTTCGCAACGAAATCACTTTTCCTTTTTGTAAAGAATATTCATAAATTGTGAATCTAGATACACCCTACTTTGTTGAATAAACACAGATATAGAATACTTCATTATTCGGATACATCCATTTCCTCGATTAGAAATAAATATGTACACAGTTTTTTCCATCGAAATTAGACAAATATTTGGTTCAATAATTAATAGGGATCGGTCAAGGATAACAAGAAGAAGAGTACTCTTACAAAATTTGAAAAATAAAAACATTAAATAATTTCATTTATAATCAAGTTTCTATAGTTATGAAATTAATTCATTATTTCTTCTGCTATATCCTTAGACTCTCACTAACTAAGGCCCAAGTAAAATTGACAAGTCACGTGGGCTGTCAATCAAGAGCTTTGGCAACCTATGAAAGTCGCCTAACACAAAGGCAAAGTTCCTGACGAGGCACACAACATATAACTGACTGGAAACAAGATATTCAGTTAGCATAGGAAGTTGTTTTTATAGCATTTATAGAACCAAAAATGGCAAGTCAGCCCTCAATTTAGCTAATCTAACTTATGAAGTTATCAAAGGGTCTGTGCAACTGCTATCTGAGCATGACTGAAACAAATAAACCAATGTAATTGCCATTAAGTTTTGATACCCTGCCCATAAAGCATTTTACCACATGTCAGTCGTGGGTCTTCTTCAACCCGTTTAGTTTGAGAAACTGTCACCTGTTTGGGTGAAGGAAATTGCCAGTTGGTCGTCCCCGCCCACAACCGGAAGTCAGCGACAGTTGACGGTGGCATCCTAACAATATTTCATAATGTATGCGCTAATATTATTATCTGCTGGCAAAAGTTGTACCATAGTTAACCCTTTGACTGTCCTGGTTTTGGGGGTATCATTGTGTCTTTGACGGTGTTCGAAAGTTAACGCTAGAGCATGGTAAAAGGGATTGCGTGCACAGTCTGGCATGTCTGGCATACATGCCATATCAATTACGCAAGAGATCCTGAGGATTCGATGACAAAGCAACGGAAATAAGTACTATAAAATTCTAGTTACAGCAACTAGCCCAAAAGAAGATATTGCCATAGCGACCAGGCTGGTCTGAGAATTGGGAAACAAACCTTTATGCAAGAAAAAGAAATAAGTCTGTACTGATGCTTCGCAAATAGATGGAAATCCTTAACTTAGGAGGAATATCGACATTATACTTTGCTGTTCATTGTGCTTTGACAATTAGCTGTGCACAAATAGAAAATTATCAATTACTCAAAAAAATCAAGACTGTTCCAGTTGGGATTGCCCGACTAGGCAATAGCCTGAAGCCCGGGCCGAGCTACCTTTAATATTTTAAAATTAAAACTAGAGTTTTTAAGCTATTTTAATAAAGATAAAATTTAATACTAAACATGCAACCAAAAAAATAATAAACAACAATATTTAATGAGATTTTTAGGGTTTAAGGATGGTATGAGAGTGTGTGTAAATACAAAAGTCCCTCTTATATCTAAAAAAATATATATATATTTTAGATCTGCATATACTTAAAAAAAAAAGCTTCCATACTTAATAAATTTGGTTGTCCAGCACCGACAAAAAAACAGGATACCGAGTAGTTATCCATCATTTGAAAGGATAACTTATATAACAAATTTTAAGTCTCTAGATCTTACACTATCTGAGATCGAAGCATTAAATACATTTGCATAAAACTAATATGCCCTTTATGCCTACTTTCAATGTAAACACCAATTAAACCCCCCAATACATTTACAAGGCTTGGGCCCTGAGTCCACAACCAAATTCCTTTTACTTGCCCATTGCCACTTAACACACCCCAGGGAACGCGACCCGCCAGCTAATGCAATGGGAGGCTTATTTGGGAGAGCTCTATTTATATATTATTCAAATTACCAGCTAATAAAAAAAAAACCAAACAACAAGAAAGGAACATGTAATTGTTACAATATTTGTTCGGCTCCGGCTGGTAATTGAAGAGCAAACCGAAAGCAAACATCGCTGGACAAACTGTTAATGACACCTGTAAGTGGATGACATTAGCACTTAGACCGAGGGCTGTAACCCAGTAGACGTTGCCAATGGTATCATTAGCAGTGCTTTAGTTGTCTCCACAAAACAAATGCTCAAATAGTAACGCAATCTAATATATATACTAAATCCAGAAAAACAAATAGCTAAATATTTAAGTCGTGCAAATTGTTATTCGAAATGTGTGAAGAGACTCCCATAAGCGACTGCGAGCCAACAACTTTGATGATGCACTCAAACTCATATCACATTCATCTGCCACTGTACATCATGGATATGGTGCGCATATTTCAGGATCATCCCAAATATGTGAATGGCATTAAGGAGACACATATTGTGGAGATGCTGGAGAAGGAGTGAGTTTTGCATAAGGTCGCATTTAGCTTAAATTTGTGATCCATTCATTTGCAGATCATTTGCCTGCGGCGATTTGGAGGCTCAAGTGAAGACAGCTGTCATGGATTTGTCGGCCAAGGGCTTTATACGCTATATTAATAACGGCTATCGCACATTGGGACCCATTGCCAAGTTGGCCAATGCTCGCAATGTGCGGCACTTTTGCGCCACCTGGCAGCGCATTGCCGAACTACAGAAGGTCAACTCCGACATCCTGGACGGAGGCAACTCCCTGAACAGCCAGCGCCACAAGTGCAACAGGCGTGGCTCCAATTGTTAGGCCAAAGGCCAAATGCAGCAGGCCAAGTTTTGTTTGTTTGTTATTCAATTTCGTTTATACGTTGTGTGTTCCCCGCAACGCCCGAACTACTCTAGAAACTCAAATAGTTGCGTTCTTGTGTCTCAGTCCATCAAAATTATTGTTCAAGCCAAAAAAAAAAAATCAAATAAATATACCAAAATTGTAAATGTGGGTTTTATTTGTTTTGAGCATACTGAAGGGTGGTTCGGCCTCATCATCATTATGTGCGCTGCCTGGCTTGGAACATATGTCAAGGGTCTTCTCATCCTTTTGACACTTAACCCCATGTTTAATACTCATATAATTATCATGTAGGGTGGTCTCAGCAGGTGTGTATGCTACAGTGTATAAACGATTTTGTCCTTTACAGAATACATCCCAAGTTAAATATTACAATATAAGGTTTAATTTTAGTTCGAAATCATTTGGAATGAAATCTCCGACCATATAGTCTCAGCTTTGAAGCAGAGGTAGTTCGAGCCAGTGCATAACTAAATTATTTGTTATTTACCAAGCCCTGCATTTATTGCACTTTGCTCCTCATATACATTCAAAACAAGTAAGCGGTTCTAGTCGGGAGCTTCCGACTAGGGTATACCCCGAACCCTCTTCATCCAACATTAAATGCATATATATTCTATTTTAGAAGCTAGCTCTAGCTCTTATTATTGACCAAAATTGCCCAAATCGATATCGATTTTTATCGATTGCTTGGAAGCGGAGTAAGTTATCGATTATCGGAAACAAACTCGATCTGCGCAGGTACTAGGAGCACCTACTTCTCTAGCTCATATAGGTTCTGAGATCCTTGCGTTCATACATACGGACGGACGGACAGACAGACGAACATGGCTAGATCAACTCAGCTATTAATGCTGATCAAGAATATATATACCTTATGGGGTCGGAGATGCTTCGTTCTGCCTGTTATATATATTTGGATTTTGCACAAGTACAATATACCCCTATACTATTTTTAATGGGTTCAGGATATATATATGTGCTCCACAAGAAATTCAAATATCATTTCTACTGCATGAAAGAAGATATATCTGTGCTGTCAAAGGTGGAATCATTCAATTCAATTGCTAGGTTACTTTAAAAAATATTGAAAAATCAAAATACTGAGAAGTCCTTTCACGTATTCATCGTACATAAAATACGCAGTTATGCAGTTGTTGTCATTCACAACACGGCATATTCCTGATAAGTCTGGGCTAAGTTGGAATGACACAAAGGCTCTACCCTTTGCTTTTGGCCTGCTGCTAAAACATTTAAATTGTCAACACCAGGACATAGCAAGCGGGTCGTCATTTTGTTCTTCCCCATGTGACCCGATATGTTGGCCGTACACGCATGTGATCTCCGCCAGGTGTTATTTATTGCCTTTCTAATCGTTGCGGCATAATCTATTAGCACCCGCGGCGACGACGACCTGACCGAACTCGAGCCTGGATACCAAACAGACCAAAACTTTACTGCTGTTGGTTTTTTGCTTTTGCACATTATGGGAAATTAGTATTATTATTTTATTGTTTTAGTTTTCAAGCTTTGCGACAACAGTTTAGCTCGAGACCATGATTTTTTGTCGTTATGCTTTAATGACTGTTAATGGGCCGCCTTTTGCCATTAATCAAAAGTTTGACATACAGCTCTATGCATTTATTAAGACTTATCTAATGAACTGATAGATACTACATGGATATAGTCCAGTTCTGTATGTCGCTATATAAGTAAAAGTACCCTAAAAGATCTGAGCGCTTGCAGACATTTAGCAGGACGGCCGCTTGTTGCTTTCATTTTTTTTTTTTGAGTAACATTGGTGCAGCCAGTCATAAAATAAATTTTCTATAAAAGGATTATGAAGACCATCTACCCATACTATATAAACTTATTTTAGATTCTGTTTGTTGCATCGCCAATTTCGGGGTTAATTTCACACATTTTTTTGCTTTCATAATTGTTTATATAAAATATTTATACTTTAATATTTTATATTTGCTTCTAACTGGACTGGCTTACCCCAAATCCCATTATCCAAGGTAGTTTCTTTGAAGTTAAATCACCTGCTTGAGCACGTCCGCAGCGATCTAAGTTGATCACACTATCAAGACTGATAATATGAATTGATGAAGGCGTCGTTGCCTCAGGGTGTCCGTCCTCCAAGAACCACTAGATGGTTGTCACTGTCCCCAACAACACTCACAGAACACGCACGCTCACATCTTTATAGGTGTTGATGACTGATGCATGCTGCCAAGTTCCCGCTAGGCTTCTGATAACTTCGGCCAGCAGCACCTTCACTTCAATGGGCTGCGAACAGAAACACCTTTCGCCAGACAGAAGATTTCTTGAAATTGAAGACGTATGCAAAATATATCAAGGCATAAACCAATTATATATATATATTCATAAACATATGTTTTTCATAATTACATAAGCAGGAGTTGCAAAAAAAATAAAAGGTTCCTCCATGGCGTATTAGTTGTATTTTACGTTTTTCTCGGGTAGAGCACATAGCTCAATGTCATAACTAATGCGACTACGCAAATAAAAACTACCCAGCTGCTGCGACTTCTCAAAAGTTTTTGACATCGGCGACAAGATCCGCCGCTTTCCTCATCCGGCATGACGCCGATATAGAATTTTACAAGCTATAATAGTTACTACTAATAGGTAAAGAAAATGCTACTATAGTTAGTGTTCGTTCAGGCCTGTTCTACACTATTGTCGCTGTGCTGCAGATTATCGGTGGTGGGCTCCACGTAGCCACGTTTGATCATCTGCTTGGGCACATCAGCATAACGATCCAAGAACTTGATCACATACCCATTATCGGGCATATGGCTTATCAGCATTACATCGAACTCTGAATTGAGAATTACACTTTTAAGGAACTCTACGCACTCGGCGTTTTGTTGTTGCGAAGCCAAGGAACTGCGCTTAACGCCCTCAATCAAGCAATTGTTTGCCCTAAACGGTTTTAGGCTAATGGCATCGCTGCATGTTGCAAGCGACTTTATGGTGACAAACTCCGTGTTGCCATAGTCCACATAAAAGATTTTAAATACCCCGTCGATCTCGTCAATGATCTGCGCCCGATAGTAACAGTCATCGGTGTAAAGCGCTATCACCATGTCCAGCACATGCGGCGACCGTTTAAATTTACACTGCGACTCGGGCACTTCTTTCTTGCTCCAAACCAGCGGCGGCAGGTCATCTACAAACTGCACATACACCTCGGTTGGACTCTTGATATACGTGACCAGCACGCGCACCACACTACCCAAATCTCTGGGCGCCGGAGATATATATATGCTGTCAGGCAATGCTTCAACCAGCTCGGTGTCCTTGGTAGCGCCATGTGGCGCAAAAGGCTGATGCAACAGGCGACAGTTAGTTCCTGGAAACAAATAACACAATATTTATATGATCGACAGGTCTGCATATTAAAGATCTACAAACAATTCTTTAGAAACACATTTTAAATGAATTTGCAAATCGATTTATCTTAAAATGTTATTACTTAAATATGTTGCATCCATTGGTGGATGGATTGAAAAGTTTGAAACTATTGGACGCTTACCTTTAAAACACCCATTGATCTTTGGATCGTAATGGCGGCAAATACGTTGATCGTCTGTGGGTTTAAAGCCCAGCACCGCCTTGAGCGCATCACTAGTGCCGCACTCAATGTTCTCTAGCATTTCCAAATCTGCTGGACACAATTTTACAGTTGGTTCTGCTAATTGTTGCTCAGTTTTTGCCGATTGCGTTTCTTTTACGATGTTGTTCTCCATGGGTTTCGCTTGCTCCTCTAAATCCAGATCCAAATTGATTTTCCGAGTATTTTCATGGCTGACAAAACGGTTTGATGACTGTGTCTCTTCTTCAGGATGTCCATCCTCCATGAGCTCAACCACTAGATCGTTGCCACTGTTTTCCAAAACACGCACCCTCACATTTTTATAGGTAAACTGACGCATGCTACCAACTTCCCGATTGCGAACAAAGCATCTGACAGCCTCGGCCGGCAGCACCTTCACTTCATTGGGTAGCGAAAAGATTACCTCTTCGTCATCCAAGTGAATATGTTCGCCATAGTCCAGTAAATAGGCATCGTAGCCGCCACCCTCAGTGTGTGCATTGATCACCACACGTGGTATTATCTGCTCCTGAGCATCATAGACAGCAAATACCTCTCCAAAATCGGGCAGCTGATTTAGTTCCTGTATTGGCATTTGGCACGCCAGCAACTTTTTTAACGGCGTTGATTCCTGACCCCACTTGGCCACGAAAATACAATTCTCCGCAATATTGAGATGCATCATTGTAACCTGCACAATGCTATCTTCGGCAAAGCTACTTATGTTCTTCAACAGCTGATCGTACGTTTCATTGCTTGTCGTTTGCCTGCCGCCTTTGGGTGGCAGCAGTTTTGCCTGGCGTGGAGGGATGGGTAGTTTGGGTGGAGCAGTGGGTGCAGCTGGGATCGAGGGGCTTTCCAGCTTACAATTTTCCTGTGCTGTAACAAGCCGCACAGATGAGGCAGTCCCATTTAAGCCTTCGCGAGCTGTAGGCGTGTCATGCGTATATTGATTTGATTTATTATTAAAATGGTTTGGCGTTACAAGCTGTAATGCATCACCTTTGAACTCAGTTTCTGACTGCTTGGCGCCTACTAAATGTACGTCCAGCTCGCCCACCTCGATGCCATCCAGATTTGTGTGGTTCACTTTAAAATTGTTGTGCTCCAAGGATTTTCGCCGTAGATTATTAAGAACTTCTTTGGCATCCACATTCTTGAAAATGCCAAATGCTCCGTTCAGCTTAATGCGTAAATTCAATTTGATTATATATTCGTTGACCTCGTTCACGCTGCCTAGGAGGGCATCGTGAACAGAAATAATGCGACCGTCTGCGCGCCCAACATGCGACCAGCTTTCTTGAAGCGTCTGACGTACAGCATCTACTTCAACTTGATAGGCACTTAAATTAGTTCGTAATTTGTTAACATTGCGTTCAAACAGCGACAAAATCGCCGAAAGATCGTCTATTTCCATTTTGTTTTGATTTTACGATTTGTATGGATAAAAACGGAACCGCCAATTTAAAGAACTTTAAGAGCTAGCGGCAAAGCATCAATGGAAACAATTTCGTACTGGCAACACTCTCACTCGTTTAACAGCACCAAAGAGTCTTACTGTTAGTTACAGTAGCAGTAAGCATTAACGGCTGTAAGCAACTAAACAAATTGTTAACACAGTCAGTAAATCTCTTAAGTATCATATACCTCGGATTAAATGTAGTTTTAAAAAAGAGCCAAGAACTACAAAGAAGGTCTTAACTTTTTGATTTCCATAAGCAAGATGAAAAGACCGTTGCAAGTTGTATCTGCATACTGGCCTTTTTAAATACTCGATACATTGCCAACACATTCTCAACACTGCACTACACCAACACTCTACCAACACTGGTTAATGTGCCGCATATAAAAACGCGCTTGCTTGCTGTTGACAGTTGTTTTGTTAAGATTGCAGTTTTAAGACTTTATTATGAGTGAGGATACCGTACCACAATTCGTAAGTTTTTGTTACAATTATATGTAATACACCAATCAATAATTTTTCTTTTCAGGAGCTTGGTGATGCACTCGCCATGCGCTGCGGCAACACACTTACCGGAAGATTTGTGCCAGGCGGCTCCAAAATAGCACTGAGCGCTTACCGGCCGGTTAAATGGAGTACACGTGACGCACCAAGCGAAACGGCTGGCGAGGGGGCGGTGCTGATTTACATGGCTCAGGAGACGACGCTCTACACGGAGCCGCTGCTTCGCAGTTTGCTGGCTGAGACAAATGCCACATTTGCAACGCTTCAAGCGCTTGGCCAGGGCTCAAAGGGAGGTCCAAAAAAGACAATAGAATACATAAAAATTTCGCGAACGTATCGGAGCGTAATTCGTTGCTGCCTAGAGAAACTGGAGCAAGCAAAGAAATTGCCTGAAGTTCAAGAGAATGAGTCTAGGGAACAACGCTATACGGACGCCATCATGTCCTTTTATGCCATCGAGTGTCTGTGGCATCTGTTCGAGATACTTTACATGCAACAGCAGCATAGCCAACTGATTGTCCCCCAACTATTGGAATGGACGCGCTTTCATTATCCCAATACAGAAGATCATGCCACTGATTTGTTGCTCATGGCCGAGGAGGCCAGCGAGTGCGATAGCTATTGGGATACATTGAAAACGCTTATAATGCTCGGCCAACTAGATGTAACACGTGCCATACTCTCGCAGAATCGCAAATCTAACCAGCCCGCCTTCCAAACAGCTGAACAGGTGCTTAAAACTATGCCGGTTTATACAGATGGCTATGCATTGCAAAAGTTTTGCTCCCAGTGGGAGTACTGGCATGTTGATTTGGAGCGAAAATTGACTGCACATGTATTCGCCAGCGAGCCGCAGCTAGAACTGATAATGCACCTCGTTTCGGGCAGTAACGAGCATTGGGATGCGGCACTGCTCAAGTCGCAGGACTGGTATGAATTTTTGCCCGGCTATCTGCTCTACACGAGGCCCGCATGCAAGCCCTTTGAGCTGCGCATAGCGGCCAGTAATTGGCTTAACCGCTGGCTAGGGCTACGACCCGACTGGGAGATGACACAAATGAGTCGCATGGTTATGCAGCTGATGGAGCACGATGTCAAGCTCTTCATCTACGATACGCAAAAGCTCAACGACAGCCATTTGTTTGCCACACATCTTATCGATTTGATCTACCACACGGGCCAGCTCAAGGCTTATTTCGACCAACAGAATGTGTAAGTACCATGGCACTACAATATAATGCATCCTATTAATGTATGACCCCATAGCGACCTCTCCGCGTTGCGAAACTCGATGATCTTTGAGTACGGCAGCTTTTTAATGACCTCGCACAATCTCTGGCAGTTGGGCATTGATTATTTAGACTGTTGCAAACAAGAGGGCATTGCTGCCATTGAGTTGCTGCTGCCACGCATTCCACTAAAGAGCGAGCGCCAAGCCTTCAAGATTATAGCAATGGCCAAGGAACGCGGCCTGGTCAACGTCGAGCAGGATATCTGTAAAGTGCTATCGAAGCGCGCGTATTCCGATCAGCGATATGGCAGCGCACTGGAATGGGCCGTTCGCTCTAAGGATGTGTTATTAGTCACAGCCGTAGCCGACTTTATACTGAAGGTAGCTTTGATCTTGTTTGTGTTTTGTTTGTGCTCATGATATTTACACGCACTATTATCCGCAGCACTATTCTAGTACGGGCGTTATGCTGTGTCCGGATGTTATAACGAGTATTGGGGCGCGCATGTTTGTCTCGCCCCGTTTGGTATTTCTGTCCAAGTATTTTGAGTTCTATGAGTTTTACCGCCAACGCGACTTTCTTTCCGGTGCCGAGCTGCTCATCAACCTGCTCGCTTCGAAAATCACGCCTGATTAGTAAGTTATTTTCATTAAATTTGTAACCCTTTGAGTAATACACAATTTAATAACAGTTTTTGGCCCTCGCTGCTCATTGATGCCTTGCCGCTGCTGGAGTCTGAAGATCCAAAGATCTTCTGCAAGGAAACTATTGCTATATTACAGCATCTCGAAATGGAGCTAGTGCCTTTAATAGAGCGCAACAAACTAAACACTGCCAAGTTTAATAATGTAAGCAAGCATTTACTACATTACATTCATTATGAAAGATTTTTCATATGCACTCACCACTTTTTCGCATCACACAGCAAACATCTAAGACCGTGTTCCAGGACTACCGCGTAGAGAATGTTGAGGAGATACTGGATCTGATGCGTTTGGCATGTGCCCGAAATCTGTCCAGAGCTATGATTATTGAGAATACAGCACCCGCAACGTGATTTTTAAGCAAACTTCTTTTGTAGTTTAATTTATTTTATATTTTCGCTTTTAAATACATCGTAATCGTAATTTGTTGTAAACGTTTATTGCATTACTAATTTCTTGTTATTTATACGATTTGTTAATTTGTGCCTCTTTTTGTCTGCTATTATTTACTGTAAGTACCAACAACGCTAATTGTCTGACCAAGACAGCCTCTTTTGGCCAAAAGAGACTGGCCACAACGTATGTCAAACTGTTTTAATTTGAAATTGAAGCATTTCGGATGCATAATATTGTATTCGAGATTAGAATTTAGAGTTCTAATCTATAGGATTAGGTTCATTTATTTCGATAAGGCAAATTAAAATGCTTAAGCCGAACTTAAAACGAAATTAAAAACCTAAAACGTTCTATAGGTAATTACATAAAGTTATGTGTTTATAGCTGCACAGGATTTGGGTTTATGCACCTAAGAACTAACAAACAACGCACAGAGCACAATGGAGTAGTCCGTATACTATATAAGGTTATATAATTACTATATGTTCATATATTTTCCTTTTTAATGATAATGAGAATCGTACGGCCTTGTACAAATGTTATTTACTAACGACTACACACGGAATTACATACACAAATCTAGCGCGGGGAAACGGGAAACAATGAAAACACTTTTAAGTGACACTTGAAAGCAATTTAAAAGAAAAACTACAGCACTTTGTTATTTTCTTATGCTTAAATTCTTTGCAGGGCTTTGCAAAGCTAATAGTAAAACAAAATATAATAACAGAATTAATCAAAGCACAGGACTCAACTTTCAAAGATAAATCCTTAACTTTTTCATAGAAATATTTATATGAGTAAATTGGGTAGAAATCGTACTTGACTGTCTGAGTTTGGCATGGTCAAAGAATTTATACTTTTTACTTACGCTCCAGAAGGAGTGTATCCTCTTAAGTAGTATTAACGGCCAATTATTGTGTGGAGCTATATTCGGTTTTGAGTATTTTCGCTTTTTCTATATGCTATATGGTATAATGCGCGTATATATGTATGTCGAAAGATGTCTAGGAAGGTGTCTAATTATGTTTTGCCGTAGTCGCCGATACCACTGCTGCTGCTGCGCTTGTCGAGGAGGCAGTTGTTGTGGTTGCCGTAGCCGCCACAGCAGCCGTTGCTGCCGCCGCAGCTGCGGCAATGGCTGTGGCAGCAGCACTGCCGCTCGTTATGGAGCCCAAGCGCGATAACGAAGGCTCCCGCTTGGGCGGTACAATTGGCTTAGTTGGTATGGGCGGTGGTGCGCCGCGTGCCCCTGCGGGGGGCACGGTAACAGGTGGCACTGCGATGGGCACAGGATGTGGATGCGGTGGTATTGCGGTCTGATCCAGCGCTGCAGCAGCAGCCAGTGCTGCGTACTTGCCGCCCGGCGCACGTTGTATGGTCGCCGTTGGCTGCATTTTAGCCGGCGAAGGTGATGGTGGAGCAGTTGCAACAACAGTACTGGAAGCAGCGGCGCCAACGTCCGTTGTAGCGACAGTGCTGCTGTTGTGATTGACGGCAGCCAAAGTTGATGGCGCCGTGGGTGCGGTGGCGGTCCCCGTTGGCACCGTGGCAATGCCAACAGCGGCGCTACGTATATTTTGGCCTGGCACAATAGAGCGTGCTATGCCCGTTTGTGGGCCCGAAACCGGCATGCTGGTCACTGTCGCGGTTGGTTGAACTATTTTCGCAATGTTTACCATGGGCGTGGCACATGCGTCGTCTGTAAAATTTATTTAATTACCGATTAGCAATGGGAATCTAAATTCAAATACATATGAAATACAAAAATTAAAGTAATCTTCATTACAACAAAGCTTAGACATAGACATAAGTACATATGTATACCCTTGCAGATTTTTTTTTAACCTCAAGGTACATAAAAAAAAGGGAATCTGTAGCCCTAGCAATATTCTATTAAACTATTTAATGTTTCTAGCTATCCGACAAAATTTATCTATCTGACATGTATCTCACCTTTACGAAATGAAGAAATCAAATTCTATAGACTGGGCTTATAGCCAAAGCATCAAGTCATGTTTGAATTACATTATGAGCTCTATTAAAAGGTGCTTTAGACTTAGCCTAAGCAGTAAGTGTAAGAAAAACCATTAAGAAATTATAGCGTGTTGTAAGCATGTGCAAACGCTGAGGTCACCCAAACGGTCATAATTACAATAAGAACAAATTACAATATTAGCTATACATTATAAATACAATATATATCCCACTACCAATAATGTCCTCAAATGCAGATTAGGTTTACAATGGCCAGGCAATACAAGTATTCGACTTGTCTTCCAAAAGGGGCTTAGGTCTCTGCGAGCCGCCTACCGCGAAAATCATGTGTACTAACTTAGCATTGACTGGCGTGTTTACAGTGGGTGCGTTGTGTGTGTTTGAGTGTGTGGTGATGCATATGCGCAAATTGTATGGTGCAGTCATCAGAAGTACGAAACGAGGAATGAGAAAACAAATCACCTTGCAAATTGCGTAAGATATTTTCTAACAAAATATTTCATCTTTGAGAGGGACACGAAATAAATATAAATATATATAGAAAACAGAAGAAATTAAATCATAATTACAACAGGTAAATAAAGGCACAGGCCAGAGCAACACCTACCGCTAAACTGACGCGATTTGCTGGCAGCAGCCACCGTTGAGCCACTGGCAGCCAGTTGTTGCTGCTGCTGTTGATGTTGCTTCTTCAATGCCTCGTGCTCGGTACGCAACGTGTTTAGCTCCTGCTCCAGCTCCTTAACACTGCATTTATATTTATGTTTGTATTTAGTAAACGAATGGGAAACTGTCTTTAATGGAAAACACATACCGCAGCTCTTCCTTGGCCAATTTGGACAACAGCGTTTTGCGCTCCAGTTCCATTGCTTGTGTTTGCTTTTCCAGCTCCTCCTCCATACGCAGCGATTTTTTGCTCTCCTCTTCAAGGCCCTCGGCAATGGTATCGGAGCGCTGTTTCTCTTCGGCGAGAATTTGAGCCAAATCCTCAGAACGTTTGCCTGAAAAGCGTTCGTTTTTCGATTAAATTATATATAATTAGGGTTTAAGGGGAATCCCTCACCCTCCTCAATGTACTTCATTAGGATCTTCTTTCGTTCCGCGATAAGTAACAAAACGATCTGCTTTTGCCTGTTGCGCTCGTACTCGAGCGTCTCTTGCAGTTTCTTGAGATCCTTTTCCATGTTTGCCACCTGCGCCTGCTCTGCCTCTAACTGTTGGCGCAACTTGGTGCGCTCCATTTCCAGGCCATAGGTTATATCATCACCCTGGGCGGTATCATGCTCATGCTTGCGCCTCTCCTCCTCTAGCTGTTGCAGCATGCGCTGATTGTTCTCCAGCGACTCGGTCAATATGTTAACCATGCGCACATGTGTGCCACGCTGCTTGCTGACCATCTGATACTGCTGCTCCATTTGCTGCTCAATGATCTGGCGGACCTCCATTTCCGCTTGAGCGGCCTGCGTGGAGGACTCGCGAGATATCAGATTCCCGTTCAATGCGATCTTATCCCGGAACAGCGAAGCATACGGATCGTTTGGCTGCACACGCTTTGTGCGCAGCTGTGTGATCAGCTGCTTTACCCGCTCGTTGCGCAGCGCAGCGATGCACACATCGCGTGCCTGCAGCTCTCCCTCCAAATAGTACAGCATCTTCACTAGCTCGCTATGTGGCAGCTCAGTGCGTCCATTGCCAAGCTGCTGCTGCTGCTGCTGCTGCTGTTGTTGTAGTTGTAACTTATGTCCTGCGCCCGGCTTCATGGTTTGGAATTCGTGTGTGGCATTAATGTCGCTGCTGCTGCAGGCGGCTGTTGTTGTTGGTGCCGCATTGTTGATTTCCAGCTCCTTCTCGGTTATAATAGTGCTGGAGTTCTGCTCCATTATCCTGGCTTTCTTTACAGCATACAAAAATTGTTGTTCGAGGCTGCGTCGCAGTTTGTAATTTGTAAATTACAATTTCTACTTATAATTGCACTTGTCGCCGCTGTGTTGCGCTAAATAAATGGCATTTTAATGGCTGTAATTTGCGTTAATTTACTAAATTCTGTGCCATAAAAATTCTTTGTTGCCGTGAAAAAGTGGATACTTTTTGTTAGAGATGGTACATAGAAAAAATCGTTTCGCGGTGTGATAATAAGCGGCTTGCGCAAAATATATCGGCTATCAGGCCATCACAAAATCGCCGAAGTAACTCCACACTTAACGATAAACATAACTCGTCGAGTATTTAACGAAACTATGAATTTCTTGCTTTAATTAATTTTGGTTTTTTTTTCTCTTTACAATGCAGTTAAAATGTAACAGCGCTATTTTCTAAATACAAACGGTTTAGCTGTGTTATAGGCTAGAGAATAACGAATGTGTTTTCCCACCAAACGGTCTGCCTGCGGTATCAGGGCCGGCTTGCGTACATAAATGCCAGTTGCCTGCGGAGTCCAAACACGCCAAGTGCATTCAGAGTTCTCTGGCAGCAGCAGGCCCAGCCAGCCAGCGGAGCTGAGGGTTATATCACAATTGAGCTGCCTTTCAGCTTGTCTATTAAGCAACGCGCCGCTTTGGACCACGATATCCTTTTCCATGCACTGCAATCCAGGCCAGCGCTGCAGACGCGTTTCATCTCCGCCAGCCATGGGCACACCCAATAAGGGCGTACCCAAATAGCGTGCATAAACCATCTCAGCCTGCTGCGTATCGGTTATTAATATCGGCAGCGTTTCTGCAGCAAAAACAAACAGTTTTAGGTACTCCTGATTACATTCCAGCAAATCTACACGTGCCAAGCCGCCCAATAGGAGGGACATAGTGGGTGCCAAGCGAAAGGCTCGGGGTCTCAACATCTTTGTGGGTTGTAGACGCAGCAGCTCCTCCGTCGTGAGCAAGGGCGTCAGTTGATCCGGCTGCATAACACCAGGCGTATCATAAACCCAACGGGCCTCACGATACTCCGCCTTCCGTTCGTTGAGTGTCGTTATGGGCTGTGTACCTGTTGACATGGCAAACGCATCCTTCACATCTACGCGATGTTCAAAGGTGCGTCCTAC